TGTAGCAATAACTATTATTTAATAAAAGCCCACCATTACCCCAGATGAAGTACCCCCAAATTATTTTGATTAAGTGTAAATACTATATTTTGTCATCCATTTTGCAAGTTTTGTTTGCAAAATTGTAAACTGAATATATTTCCAACTGAATGGAAAACTGTATACATCACATTGAGATATAAATATGAGTCTAAAAACGAAGTATACAACTATAAACCAATCTCTATTCTGAGCATTATACCTAAGTTTTTAGAATTGGTAATGACAAATAAATTAAAATCTAAAATTATTCCTTTAATATCATAATTAACATGGGCTTAAGCCAGGATGAAACAATGAAAGTATCTTAGTTCTCTACAGCCAGTATATTCAAAACCCTCTGAAAGCAAATTCCAAATAAATAGGATTTATACTGACTTTAGTAAGCTGTTCTGATTGGGGAACCATGGATTGTTAATTTTAAACTGAAATTCATCAGTATATCATGGTTGTTTCTGAAATGGTTATCTAATAATTTGAGAAACTCAGTTTAATTTCTCAAATACACAGGTTTCATCTCCAATAAAATTTCAGTATCTTCTAAATGAGGCTGGTATGATTTAAATCAAATGATTTTTTAAATCAATGATTTAAATGAATATTAATTATTTGTTATTTTTGAAAAATATTTGTAAAATAAAAATGATCCTCTGATAAAAATACTTACATCAATTACAAAGTTGATGTTACGTATATATATTATTATAAACTTTTTCACATAACTGAACTATTTTGAGACAATGAAAAACAATATAACATATAATATAACGAACAAACTTATGAAACAAAAAAACAATTTATTATATGCTAATAGACTTAGATGATCGATTAGCTTTTATCCAGCATTTAATTGTCTGAAGATACAAACACAATACTGCCCTAACACACGAGCTAATTTCGAGAAAAATGCTTTTAAAGCTTGAGTATTGTGCAGTAGGATTTGTATTAAAATATTTGCTAAAGTCACTTAAAGTTAAAGAGTATTAATAAAAATGAAATTTTTATGAATACTCAATAAAAGAACAAATTAATATTGTAAAAACTAATAATACCCTTTAATTAAAAATAATCTTACCCTTTTTCTTTTTGTGTATATTAATAAAACTCCATTTTAAGTGGAAAGCATACTTTCCACTGGCCTTCAAAGGGTTATGGGAAAATTGGCAAGTAATAAACATTACACATTGTATTTTTTGACAACAGAACAACTATTAAGTAGTATTTAATATTTCAAAAGCTGTCTTAACATTTATATTAATTTTTTGAAGAATTCACTCATTTTTAAGAATAAGTGTTTTTATATTAGGGTGTTATTACACACACACCAAACACACAAATTTGATTCTTTTCATTCATTCTTTATTTAAAAAGTTATACTATATTTTACAAGAAAATTGTAAATTCTTTGTTGTCAGGTTTCATCCACAGGAATGTGTCCTTATGAAGTGCAGTGAAATGTTTTTGTAAATTGGACAATTTAATGTCCATACAGTAAATAAATAAACCATTCAGTTTAATGTAATCTGCAATGCATTTAGGTGGCACAGTTGGGCAATGTGTAGCAGGGCTGGCAAGTTGGTTCAATAGAGGATCGTGATATCTACATACTCGGCAATGCCAGGGAATTGGCTAGTGAATAAATAAATACGCATACCTTCCCCTTCATGGCTGTCATCAGGATGCTTCTCCACACTGCTGCTGTGGCCATTGAGAGCATGCCTATCACCTTCCTCTTCCTCGTCTTCCTCCTCATCATCCTCCTCCTCCATGCGCCGTGGGTGCAGAACGCGGGATCCATGGTCAATGCAGTGACTGGAGGACTCTGTGGCTGCAGATGAGCGCAGCGACCGCTGGTGGACATGAGTTCGCCTTACCCTCCGACGCTCAGATCGACGACAACTGTTAACATATAACCGAACACACATCAAGAACTACTAAATGTGCAAAAACTTTTGACGCAGATCAACAGACTGTGACTTACTCAAGGAAGTTCGAAATTTTCCAAGTATTTGAAGACAATTAATAAATAAAATTTCAAAACAATAATATTCTATCTATGAGAATTGGACACCTCCCAACAAAAAAACTCTACACACCTTAATTTAAAAATGTACATGACAAAATACAAGCAACTGACATTTCCTTAATGGTCATTATTGTTCTACAAAACGAATTTCAAAGCTAATGTATCTGAAGAATCAGCAGACAACAAACACATGAATGTTAAAAAAGGATTCCACAAAATTATCTTAAATCTATGAAGATCACTTCGACAGCTGTTTTCCACTGATGTGCAGAGGCCCCTCTGCAAGTCATAATAACTGTAATATCAGCTAACACAGCAGCAGGAATGATGACAATTAAGGTTCAAGTGCTTCAACAGCTAAGGTCATTGGTGCCCGTATCAAATTATTTTAATAGCAGTATGCATTGAAGCAGTACCAGGTTTTTTTAATGCAAATAAAATGTTAGTAAAACAGAAAATAATGTGTTCACTAATAAAAAAATTTGGCAGAAAAGTGTCAGACAAACACTTTAAAATCTCTAACTAACAGCCAAATAATTATCATAATTCTCTTCTCTCAGATAATGCTATAAACATCAAAAACTGCAGAGACAAGACTTGTCATTTCCAAGAACTTTTGCTAGAGAGCTAGCAAGGTAATGCCTTTCACAGCTACCTAAGAACACTGAAGGAAAGCATGTTCCACGATAAAGATGTCTGGCAGCTACTGCAAGTAGGGGCTAGGTCACCACAGAGAAGATGTCAGTGACCAATCTGAAGACGTGCCAAAATAATCTCCTCATGCTTAGAGCCATGAGATGAGAAAGAAAAAGGCTTTTTGGAATCCTTGATTCCCATGAGCTTAAAATCCAAGTTCTGCCACTCTGTTTGCCATGCACTGAGTATAGAGTATTTTATAAACAGCTTGGTAGCATTTGTTGGGACTGTGAGGCTACTTCAGCTATGGGGACTGTGAGACTACTTCAGCTTTCTTTACGGCGAGCTTTGCTGCCTGGCATCTTTTCCCATTATCTCAACATGGCCAGGGATTGAAAAAAAAAGTGCACCAATTCAGCGAAGTGCATCCAAGAGGGCATATTTCTCTGCAGCAAAAACGCTTCACGATGAGTTTATTCAAAAACTGAGTGGTACTATGGGGATAAGGCACAACCTTTTCCTTTTTGGGAGGAACCATCAGTGTATATGAAGTAATAGCCAGGATTCATGAATTTCGTCTCCTGAAATTCTGCCAGAAATGTACTGGGGGAGTTTATTTGGGTAAGTTTGATCATCTCAGCTGTATTTTAGGTGAGACCTACCTGTAAGTGCGCGAAGGAGATTCTATGGTGATACACAACGACTCTTCAAGTTTTGAATATGTTTTCACCATGTTAAACTCTTGTTGAATGTCAGGCCAAGGAAAGTAGCAGATACGACAAAGGGAAGTTGATGACCCCCCCCCCCAAAAAGGAAGGAGGAAAAAAAGTCAATTAAAATTCTTTATATTTCACACAATGTTACACGAAAACTTCTGATATTTTAAAAAAATTGAGTAAAACCTTCCATCAAGATGTAGTTAAAGAACATAAAAAGGAGAGATAAAGAGATATATTGAAAGCATGATGGACAGAGAAAGTTAAGAAAAGAAATAAGAAAAGGAAAAAGAAAAATGCGAGATAAATCGAAGTATAATGAAAGAGAGGGGGCAGAGGAGAGACGGGGAGAGGAGAGAGGGAGGAGGGGAGAGGTGGGAGGGGAGGGGAGAGGTGGGAGGGGAGGGGAGAGGAGAGGTGAGAGAGAGGAAAGAGAAAACAGTGAGAGAGGGATACACAAATCATACTTTGATGAGAAAAAGAAAAAAAAGACAAGCAGACGTGTGATGAATACAGATTTTCACACTTACCATAGAAACCAGAAACAAATCAAAAAATTGAGATAAGTCAACTAAAGAATAAGTATAGGTTTTATCATGCACCAACGGTATACAGCTTCTTCTAAAGTAACATCTCTCACACCAAATAATGTCAAAAGAATTTGTATCAACAAACTCACAAGATGAAATCTCAGGGCCTCAGCCAAGTCTCAGTTATAGCAACAAAACTAAAACCAGAAATATTGGTTTTAAAAGAGAAAGACAATTTTTTAACCAAGCCCTAAGAACATTTTGATAATAAAGTGAAAACCAGAAAGACCTGGCTGAGAGAGACAAAGTCAACATATTTATTTCTTGAACCCTCTTATATTTTTGGAGTACCCCCAAAATAGCATAGATTTCAGGTGTAATTGTGGGTACTTTTGTCTGCAACTCTCTCCTCAGCCCTGTATACTGCTCTCTCCGAAGTAGTGTGCGAGCCTGAGTGATATTTACAGGAAGTATCTCAAGGGTTCCTTTTTTCTTATTTTTCAAAAGTTTACAGTATGAACGATATTTAACTAGAATAGCATAAAAACACCTGGGGGTAATTTTAGAATCAGAAATGACATTTATCAATCACTTGATTACATAACTGGCGAAAGAAATCAACTCTTGGGTTTTGTTAGGCTAACCGTTAGCTCATTTGAAACAATACACACACTTAGAATTCCTTATACAGTAAAACTATCTTATTAAAACTTGAGGGTGTTAGTGTAATTCTGGCTTGTGCATTGGCATACATAGAGGTGTACATACATGTGTCAAAGCCTTTGGATCTGACATTTTTTTCATATTGCGTGCACGTGTAATTGAATATACCAGTGTGGTGTGCCTCCCACATTTCGAGTAAGACAAGAAAATCATTGAAAGAATAAAGCGGCCTGTTAAAAATCTACACTTTCACAAAAAACATATAGTAATGATGCTACAGAATGACAGACTTTTCCATATTCGTTTTCTATTTCTATTGGTCTCGGCTAGCTATTCGGACTTCCCAGCTGCCATCTATCGTCGTCCAAAGTAAACGTTTTTGAAATTTTCTTCATTTATAGGCTTCCTAATAGAAGAATGGAAATATTATTTTAAAAATATTGAAGAACAGCAAAACCTTGTCCTAAATGGCAATTTTCAGTGAAAAATTTGGAGCATGGCATTTACGCACCACTGTAAATTCAAAATTTGAACCTCTTTTCAAGAAAAAGTTTTTGAAAAACTTCCTATGAAGTAATTTCAAGCACTTTCAGACACAAATGCAACAGTGTTTACAAATTGCTGGAAATGCATATTAAAGACGTGAGATACCTTTCAAACAATTTACATTTGTGTAATTTTTTAAAAAACAAATTAATACAGCAAAATTAATTCTATGTCATCTTAAACAATGCAATTAGCACAATCTGTTGGAGAAGTGAAAAAAATGGTGTTTGAACTTTTCTAAAAATGCGGAATTTTGAGTTCATTTTCATGGAAAACTGTTGAGTTTTTGGGAAACTATCCAACATTATTTAAAGCACATGTACATATAAAAACATTAATGTAAAGAAATTGCAACTAATATAAATATTAATAACTTGAGAGACAAGTAAAAAAAAATAATTTTCATAATTTTTCAAAAAACAAAAGGATGGAGCAATATGGCGTTTACAGTGTACGTTTAGCACTATCCCTACCAAAAGTTTAAAGAAAACATTTGGAGACTTTTTGAGAAGATTTTTCTTTTTTTAATTGCAAGTATTGCAGGCAATATTGCACAAAAACTACTAAAATTTTCAAACGAAAAATACACACGACCCTGAAAAATGAACTTGCTATGGAGAACATATTTTACTTGAAGGATAAATCTCCATCTCTAATTTTGTAGTTGTAGGAAAACACTGAAAAAAATTCATACTTTTGAAATTTTCGAATATTCAGAGATAACCGGAAAATCCAACCAATGTCACTTTTATAAGTGCATGTTACTCTATTCTTACATGAAATAAAAAAAAAAAAAATAAACAAATAAAAATAAAAATAAAAAATCAGAGCCGTTTTGGAGAAAATTTTGAAAATGTCCGCTTCATGCAAAGTGCCCCCAAATTTTTGAAAAACATTATCCCAGCTAGGGATCCTATGAGGATATTTGGCCAAGCTGATGAAGGTGAGAATAAAAACTTGACCACAAACGCACCACTATTCAATTGTTAAGCAATGGAATGCTCTCCCAGAGAATTGTGTGAGGAAGAAATGCTTAAGTGCCTTTCCAATCCTGTCTAGATAATTATAATCAAATTGAGTTTCTAGTGCAATATATAGGATTAAATCTTAATAATTAGCATTAGTATATTTATATCCGCTTGTTGCTGCTTCCATATGCAAACTCGGCTTAGGGAGTTTCAATAGCAAACAGATTGTTGACTGAAAACAATGAAAACAAGATGTCTGAGGAGTCAAAGTCCCAGCCACCCTTTTAACACCAGTTACTGGTGTTAACTGCAAACCAAAGAGTGCAAATTCAATCTCTAATTGCTCTTCAAAGAGGATAATGCAATTGCCAATGCAAATCAAGCAATCTGTATTCATGTAAGACATTTTATGCAGACTTAGACAATTAAACTTGTAAACAGCTTGTTACCAAAGGAAGATGCAGTTTTTTTGAACACCACTGTAGAAGTACACACTTGCTTTCCTGTAGTGTGAGAAAGGATACTTCCTGCTCCTCACTAGACACGAACTATTTACAAACTTTCAAGTGATAATTTTCAGTGAAAACTAAACACAGAAGGAAGAGTTTGACACACTACTTCTTGAAGAAAGGCTCACTACAAATATATTTACGTTGTTTTAGATTTAAAAGCCTTTTACTATTTTTCAAAATCTATGGAAAGCAACCATATACTTAAGAAATTACCATAGTATTTTTTTTACCTTTCTCGAGCTTTACGAGGACTGAAAATATCATCATCGTCATCTTCAAAAATTCCAATATCATCCGAGTCTTCTATCATTTCATCATCGTCATACACACGGCCTCTCTCATCCAAAGACACTGGTAATCTGCAGCTCCGAATGTGTTTCCTTGAACTTATACCTACAATACAAAGAGAAACAACATATGACAAACTTCTTGACAACACGACAGGGAGAGAATTTTGCCACGAAATTTATGCTGATCCAAGTTTTCTCAGAGAATCCATTACATTATATACTTATTTGTTACGTTAGCAGTCAAGTAAACAGTACAAAGCAGGTAGCAAATTGTATAAAAATGGAAGTCGTAGAAAATAAAGAGAAGTCATTCTAGATAAAACAACATTCAAAATTCACTTAAACATCAAAACATCATTCATACAGATATTAAAACATTCCGTGTAAATAATATAAGAAATGTAGGCTATTAGAGTATTAATGCGAATAAGGGTATGCAGTGTTAGGAGTGCACTTAAAATGGGAGATCATGCTCAGCATACCAAGACAGCTACTGAAATGGCAATACTTGGAGCACAAAGCTACCTTGTTTAGCATATCTGGAATGCAATGAGCATCCCCTAGTTCTGCGCATATGTTCATTACTGCTAAAGACAAAACGGTTCCGCAACTCTCTACCCCAAAGAGATCCACCTTTCGGAGTAAATGAATCATCTTTCTCCAATCTCTCATGATTGTTATCACTCTCGCCATCCTGAAAACCATAGTTGTGAATGCAGGTGTAACCATCAAGCACCACAACTTTTGGGGAAAAGATAAATGACAAAAAGTATTCCAAAACGTCCAATTTACCTCTTGTTTGATTTGGATGTTGTCCTTCACTGGCATATCTGATTTCAAATCTTGACTTGCATCAGAACTTCTCGTCTTCATTTTCAAACAACCTGACCTGCGAAAGAGTAGCAGCTTTGGCGACTCGCAAAAATTTTAAACATGAAATGCATTCTTGATTTCAGAGATTGGTTATATCAGTTCAATGGCCGTTGTGATCGCGACTAAAGCGGTCGACTTCACCTATGATGACATCTGGAAGATACAAAAAGATAAACACATTGCACTGACGGAGTAAATTCAGTCACTTTATTTGATAAAATGGACTAAAACTGCTTCACTATCACAAAGCGCCAATCACTTACCCTCCGTCAAAACCTTCTAGAGCAACCACTCATAAGATGAAATGGCGGCAACTAATGATTAATCGTCAACAATTCACGGATTACAAATGTCCCTACTTAGGGTCACAATAAGCCACCAATAATAACTCTGCGGAGATAATTCAAGTAGAATTACTTTACCAAGACTAATACTTGATAATAATGATTGATAATTTCGTAGGTTTTGATGAATGTATAGTAAAGCACGAGAAGGTTTTCACAATAACCAGTAAGAAAATAACAAAGGATACACGAATGTGTTTTCTTAAATGTTGTCTACCCTGCATAAACGTACAAAACAAAAGCGCGTGCGCGCCTGAATTTTGTTGAACCGCGCCAGATCGTTTCAGCCAGTTTCAGCTTATACACACGTTACACAATTGGGTTACCCGCGCGAATGTTTTAGTTGAAAATTTATTACAGTGATTTTAGAAAAACTCGAAAATGAAGTGAAGCTGGGTGAAATCATGAATTTTTCTGTCACCTGAAACGTGTTTCCAGTTTTGTTATGTGTTTTACGTCGCCCGAACCAAGAAACCAAATAATTTCAGAATGTCGAAAGATATTCGGTCCTTCTTCCTCCCGAAAGGTCAGAAATCGGAGAAGCCAAATCAAGAGTCCAACGATATTAAGAAGAGTAAGAAAAGGCCTATAATAATTGATTCAGATTCTGATGAGTCAGTTGAAATCATTCCCAAGAAGAAGAAAGAAAATACTGAAAATAAAAAGTCTGGTACTGTTAAAAAGAGAGTTGAAATATTAAAGCCGGTTGATGCTTCTGATCTTTTTGGGAGTGAAAAGATAAAGCGATCTGAAGCAAAGCCGGCTTTAGTGTGCAAGGAATCAAAGAATAAATCTAAATCCCCAAAAGAATGCGAACAAATTCATTTTGATGACGATTTTGAAGCAACTTTGTGTCAGATTGATCAACTTGAAGATGAAGTCTTAAGTAAAAATGACGTTCATAAAAATGTTCCTGATGGCAAAGAAACCAAACCGAAAATCTCTCCAGATGGAAGCAAGCCTCCTGGAAAAAGGGTTGAAAAAAAGCAGAACTCTTCACCAGAAACAAAAGAAAAGAAACACTATGAGAAAAAGCTGTCAGAAAATAAGAATAAAGAAGTAGTCACAGAGAAAGACTTGAAGAAGGAAACTCCTAAAAAGGTAGCAAACTTAAATGAAAGTGTAGGTAGTCCAGCAGATCCAGTGGAAAAGAAACGGCAGCAGGCTCTCAGTTATATGAAATATCTTCAGAGAGGTGGACCCAAGCATTTAGGAAGTAAGGAGGTTCCAAAAGGAAAGGCAGGATGTTTATCTGGTCTTGTTTTTGTTATTACTGGTGTGTTAGATTCTTTGGAGCGAGAAGAAGCAGCACAGATAATAGAACAATATGGTGGCAAAGTGACAGGAAATGTTAGTCGAAACACTAGCTATTTAATTCGTGGTGAGGATGCAGGACAATCAAAATTAAATAAAGCAGAAGCATTAGGAACCTCTCAAATGAACGAAGATGGTTTATTTGATCTTATCAGAACTAGGTCTGATAATACGTCAAATGAAAGTCATTCAACACCTGAAGGAATTAAGAAAAAGAAAAAACATGAAAAAACCAGAGCTGAGGAAGATAGTTTACCATCCAAAAAAGCTAAAGTGGAAATCAAAGTAGAACCTACAGAAACAAAGAAGAGCATTGAATCTAAAAAGGTTTCACTAGAAGACAAGCCATCTGTAGAATCAAAGCAGAAATCTGAATTGAAATCTTCAAAAAATAAAACTTCAACATTGGACATTAAAAACCAAAATTACAATTCAGAAAACAAAACAAAAAAGGAAACAAAAGTTACCGCAGATTTTGCAGATGTGAAGTCGTCCTTGTGGGTGGATAAATACAAGCCTACAAAGACCAAGCAGGTGATAGGTCAGCAAGGAGATAAAAGTTCTTTAAAGAAACTCACAGTGTGGTTAGAAAATTGGCATAAAAATAATTCTGGAAATAAGAAGCATGTTAAACCGAGTCCTTGGGCTAAAAATGATGATGGGGCCTTTTTTAAAGCTGCTTTGCTCTCTGGACCCCCAGGTATTGGAAAGACTACTATGGCACATCTTGTTTCTAAGGAACTAGGATTTGATGTTGTTGAATTTAATGCATCAGACACACGATCAAAAAAGCTCTTGCATATGGAAATATCTGAATTACTTTCCAGCAAATCATTATTTGGTTTCTGTCATTTAGGTGATACAGTACATCAGACATCTATCAAGCATGTATTGTTAATGGATGAAGTTGATGGAATGGCAGGTAACGAAGATAGAGGTGGTGTTCAAGAGCTTATTCAACTCATAAAGAATACTCGGGTTCCTATTATATGTATGTGTAATGACCGTAATCATCCAAAAATTAGAAGTCTTGCAAATTATTGTTTTGATTTAAGGGTAATGAAACCTAGATTAGAACAAATCAAAGGTGCAATGATGTCTGTTTGTTATAAAGAAGGTTTAAAAATTGCCTCAGAGGCTTTAAATGATATTATTTGTGGAGCTAATTTTGATATCAGACAAATTTTACATCATCTCTCTCTTTGGTCTGTGAAAGAGAAACAATTTCCTTCAGGTGTAGGGCAAGCAGGAGCTCCAAAACCTCATAAGGATATGAAAATGGGTCCATGGGATGTCGTGAGGAAAGTATTTTCCGCTGAAGAACATAAGACAATGTCAATCCATGATAAATCTGACTTGTTTTTTCATGATTACAGTATTAATCCATTATTTGTTCAGGAAAATTATTTATCTGTTGTCCCTGCAGCTGCTAAAGGATGCGTTAAAAAGACATTAGAGTGCATTGCAGCCACGGCAGAGAGTATCAGTGTGGGTGATGTTGTGGAGAAAACTATAAGAAGCAAGGGTGCTTGGAGTCTTCTTCCAACACAAGCTATGTTCTCTAGTGTTATTCCTGGTGATTTAATGGAAGGGTATATGAGGGGCCAGATTAATTTTCCATCTTGGTTGGGCAAAAACTCGCGTACTGGAAAACTGGACAGACTTCTTCAAGAACTTCACGTACACACTCGATTAAGTATTTCCGGCTCCAAACAGGCTCTCAATTTGGAGTATTTGCCTCATATCAGGGATGCTATTCTTCGTCCTTTAACTGCAGAAGGATCTGTAGGAGTACCTGAGACACTTAATGTCTTGCAAACATACAATTTACTGCGAGAAGACCTTGAAAGTATTCTTGAACTTACAGCATGGCCAAATCAAAAAGATCCAATGAGTGGTATAGAAAGCAAAGTCAAGGCAGCTCTGACAAGAGCTTACAATAAAGAGGGAATCTTGACACCCTATTCCGTTGTGAATGTGGTAAAGAAACGATCTGCGGGCACCTCTCCTGATCTTGAAGATCTTGAGGAAGGTGGCGAGGAAGAAGAAGTGGATGAAGATGATGTGAGTGTGGATGCAATGATTAAAGCTAAGAAGCCTCAGAAACGTTCCGAGGAAGTACCTGCTAAAGGTCCTCAAGGAAGAGGGAAGGGTGGGAATGGTTCTAATAGCAGAGGGGGACAAAAACGTGGTAGGGGAAGAGGGAAATAATGTTTGTGTTTCCTTTTAATGGCAACTATTCAGGCAGGTTCCTCCGCCAAAAACTGTGTGATATTTTATTAAATATTGTTTTTGGTGTTCTTTGAAGACATTGTGTATTAATAAAAGAAGGCCATTAATTTTTTGTCTCTAGAATAATTAATTTGCCTTGCAGTGACAAGTAGTTGTTTGTATTAATTAATTAGTAACATTTGAGGAGGAAAGAAATCGTGAATTATACCTTGTGTTGTAAAAGGTTTAGAAGTTGACATATGTTAATAATTCACTGTTAGAATTTATTGTGTATAATTGAAGCATCAATTTATATTGGGAAATGCAGCTCCCCAAATATACAATTTTGATTATCTTATTTCAATCATGCAAGAGACATGTATAATAGTGAACATGTATATTAATACAATAAACTACAGTTGATTGTATTTACCATTTGTATTTTACTTCATCTAACCTTACAATGCATAACATTATTTAATGATAAATTCTTTAAAAGTTTTTGAATGCACTGAAGAATTGTGCCATTATATAGGAGTCATGTTTTAAATTTGTTAAAAACATGGGACTAGTATTAAATATGGGATACAAACATAATAAATGCCATAATGAAATTTTCTGTCATGTCTAATAGTTTGATAAGGTGCCCAGTTGAAAAGTGAGACTAGTCCACAATAGTGGCAGTACCTAAATTTCTTTTGCAAACACCATTTTCCCTTGGAGGAGTATTGTGTCATTAGAAATTTCGTCGTAGTTTATTTCAAAGCATTCGGTAAGTAATTTACGCAGGACAGATTAATAATACATTAGCGCGTTCAATATTACTCGTCAATGTCGATTACGCCATTGATAGGTTGTACAAATACATATGAAAGCGGGCAACCGCAAGATTCCGCCCCTACTTGTTTTGGGCAGCCCTGTAAGTAAGCTATACACTGAAGAAAACAAAGACCAAGGTAGTATTTACCTATTTATAATTTTGATTCGTTATCAGGCGAATGATAATATTTATCAAATGTTTGCCCGCGTGCGAATTCTGACGTTTATGTAATAAAATTGAGGCCACGATGTGCCTTGCTTCACATCTTCGTTTCAAAACATGGTGAACACTCGAGTTGATGCGTGTGTGTGCGTTCCAAGGGAAAGATAGCTAGCGTTGTATTAGTAAATGTCACTTTCAAGTGTAAAATTATGTTGGAATTGTTGGGCATAGTATTGACATATGTAGAAACTTATTTAGGTGAGATTATTGTTGGTAATCGTGTTCGTCGGAACGGAGATGTTATGTCCGCTACTTGTAAACATTACATAATTAATTTTATGCTTTCATAATGCAAACTGATTATATGAACTGAAATTTTGTAATTACAGGACATTATATTGACATTGATTTTACATTGTGGTTGACATGGCTATTAGCACCGCTGCTGTTAACGTTTTTCTTACCCTTCGTAATTTTCCTAATGTTTTATATGAATGCAGTAATCCTGTACATTTACAAATTACATAGGTTTGTAAAAATATATACCTGTTTTCGTATTACTTGTAACTGTAGTTTTAAATCAGATTTTTATTATTTCCTGTGGTAAAATTTTGTATGTGTAATATAATACCACTTTTGAAGTGAAATTAAGTAATTTTTATTATTCAAGCTATTTTGATGTTAATTCCATCACATTATTTCCCAACATTTTTCAGAGATAGATTGCGACATGCATATGAAACTCATATATGGGATGGAGCAATTAAAACAATTGCAGCCCTGTGGGATGCTCATGGGTGGTTGTGGCATGGTAAATATGTAAACAAGTGTCAGTAGTTAAAATATATTGTTTAGTTCCAGTATTTTAATTTGTGTGTCATTGACATTGCAGGTTATGAAATAAGTGGATTGGAAAATATACCAGATAACTCCCCAGCCCTAATTGTTTACTACCATGGTGCAATCCCTATTGACATATATTATTTTATTGCAAAGTCATATTTGTTCAAAAACCGTCTGATTCACACAGTGGCTGACAGATTTTTATTTAAAATACCAGGTAGGATAAGTTTTCTTTGTAGGTACAAAAAGAAGTGTCTATATCAGGGGTTGCTAATTTAACTTCCTTTACTTAAAATATTGTTTTCATCTTATGTGTATATTGGAATCATTGTTATTTTGAGGAAGTTGGAATTTTCTCAATTTTGTAACTCATGTATTTATAATTGGAAAACAATGAGTGGGACAAATTTTTACAATGTTTAAGCAATATTAACTTTAAATGTTTAATTTTTTGAAATTTAATTCAAAAGATCTATCTTCTAAAGAAACAGTTTTGATAATTACGTATGTGGTATTCAAGAAACTTGTCTTGAATTCCAATAGAGGAGAATTTTTAATGCATCAGTAACAAATGTGAATAAAGAAGTGGCACTTTTAATAAGGGAGTGGGAGGGATTAAAAAATTCCAACTTCGAAACAAAAATGAACTCCTTCAATTACGATGCACCTTGTTAATAATCGTGTGACTGCAGTTATGATATCAAGGTCATAATAATTTACAGTAAACATTATACTACTTTCATTTTTTTGCTTAAACAGTGTGAAGTGTATAGACAAATTAAATGTTACTGTTTTTTTATACTTTGTTATTGTCATTTAAAATATTTTGATTGATTTATATTCTGTAGCATTCTTTTAAATGCATATGACTTAGCCTACCAGTGATGCAACTATGAGGTAAATATCTGCAATAGATTTTTCAGTTACGAAGCTGAAAGCATGATGAAATTGAATGGAAGCCACAAGCTTTTATTCATATGGAATGCACATTTTTGTATCATCAATCGTTGAAGACATTCAAAATCAATTTTGTTTCTGAAATGCATTAATTACATGTTAAATTTATTTATAAATAGGTGCAATTAAACTTCCTTTCATTAAAACTTACTGCTTCTATTTTAAAATTAATTTTGAAGAAATATGACAAGTAATTTTTGAGCATTTCTTGTGTATTGTTAAACAAATTGTGGTAAATACTTTCGTTTAACTTCTTAATTTTTCTGTAAATATATTTATGAAATATGTTAGGTTAAAATAAACTGACGTTAGAAAACATTCTCTACATCCAAAAATAATTTTTAGTAGTAATTACTTTGAATGATAGAACTCTTCGTGTTTGGAACTTCTACTTTGTATCATATTCCCTAAATTTTCAAACCCATTTCAAGTTTTACTAATTAACTCATTCAACAAAACTTTTATTACCTTTGTATCAGAATACAAATGTGGAAATATGTTTGGAGAAATTCTGTTAAAATAACAATATAATAGACTTTATATAGCCACAAAAATCAGTACTTGCTAAATTTGGGTTTTTTGGAAGATTAATGGACTGAGGTACAACTAACTATCTTCTGTGCTGTTTTTATACATTCATATTATCATCTAAGCTTTTGTCGTGTGACCTCTGGTTTAGATATAACTTTTTGAACTTATTATGTCTTCAGTTTTTTTAATTAACTTCAAAAAGAAGTAACTAATGCTATTGGTTGGACAGGAGGAGTGTGTGCTCAATGCAAGCCATCTTCTGTGCAGGGTTTAAAATAGTCTCCGAAGTTTTGAAAGTGATACCAGGCACAGTACAAACTTGTTCAAATATACTTAAAGAAAACAACCTATTAGCTATCTCACCTGGAGGTGTATATGAAGCACAATTTGGAGATTCATACTATAGACTAATGTGGAAAAAGCGCTTGGGTTTTGCTAAAGTTGCTTTGGATGCCAAAGTCGTAAGTTTGTTTTTGTTGTAGGTTTTCTGGAAGATTTATTACTGTTAATTTGTTTGTAATCTATTTGTTTTATTTTGCAGCCTGTTATACCTATTTTCACTCAAAATTTACGAGAAGCATTCCGTAGTGTAAGTTTTGCTCACTGGGTATGGTTGAAATTGTACAGTATTACTAGATTACCTATTGTGCCAATATATGGAGGTTTTCCTGTAAAACTGAAGACTCATGTTGGAGAACCAATTCCGTATACGGCTGATTTGACTCCAGAGTTGTTGCAGATCAAGGTTTGGTTAATTTTTTTAATACATGAAATCAAAGGCACAGTAGTAAAACTCTATTTACTTGTTCTATTAAAAAAGCTATAATAAATTATTAAATCAAAAATTCACCTGAAAGTCAAATTTATTATCATTGTGATGTCTGAAACTTGTTGGTCAAAAATTTATTTCCCATCCAACAGATTTTCAATACTGAAAATGACTTGAACCATTATGAATGTAATGTGTTTTGGTGATTGTGGTGACTTTTTCACAAAAAAAGAAAGTATATGCACACACACACACAAATTATTAGAAGAGATTTGGAATTCAAAACCACTATAAAAAAGTTCTAATCTATAAAATATAATTATGATGCATTTTTTTTCTCTATGAAAATAGTTTGGGAACCATTGAAATGCGAAGAAATAATTGTTTGAAGCAATTGGCTCAAATTTCAAATGCAGCTCTTTAAAGTAAATCATTAAAATCAGTTAAAATCTTAGTTTCTTCTTGAAGGTTGAATAAGTTTTCTGATTTGTTAAGTGTTTGCTTTTTCTAATCGTAGGTGATGCATGCCTTAGAAGCATTGATTATGAAACATCAACGATTACCTGGAAGCATCCTGAGAGCCCTGTTGGAGCGACTGTATGTTGTCCCTAAGCCATCAGAAGAAGATGAAAATGAAAAAGAAAAGTGAAATTGTTTCTCATGTGCAATTGAATCTACTTAATTTGTTTATCAAATTCCTGACGAAGTGTATCATAAAATGTTCATCCGATTTTTATCTCGGTGTTCTGAAGCTGCTCTCTTGCATTTGTCTTTCTTGAAGTTTATTTTTATGTTGTATTCCAATTTATACAAAAATCACATTGAAGCACAGTATTATTAATTAATTTCTTTATTGTGCAGTATTTGCCAGCAATGGCATGCCCTAAGAGCAATATGGCAATGTTAGACTGAATAAGATTCTGTGTGGGAATGTATGAAGTATAAGATGACATGGATATCTCTTTAATTCTGTTGATTACCTGAATATCTTTATATGTATTTAATGCAGTGTGCTTATGCAAATAATACATTCCATTGTTTTATGATGTATTAAAAGTTTTTTAACGAAGTGTCAATATTTTATATTGTTTTTACTGTTTATATTAGTGGTTGTGGTATTGTGTGATGTTGAAAGTCAAAGGAATAAAACCCTAAATAAAAAAATTTAAAAAAAATTAATTACAAATTTAACCTTAAATTAATGTTTTTAGGAGTTTGTTTATGTTACATTTCGAATTATGTAAATAATGTATGTAATTTGCTTAGGATATGATGCTCGGTGACAAATTCTTTAAATATACACAAACTACATGAACATTAAATTATGTATGCAATTAAATATACGCACATAATACATCACTTCACAAATTGTTTTAACACTACTAAACAACTAGTAGCCTGCAGCATCAATAATATGGCGAACAAAACTGCAGATACTGCTGATCTACAGAATTGTTTTCCAAGCACATACACTGCTCAAGAACAACAAATAAAATAGTCTTGTGCAATACTGCAACAAATAAAATATTTTAACAAAAATTTCAAAAATACTGGAATAATATATAGAGCTCTCGAGTGATAACAAGAGGCTTCAGGTAGTAGATCAATGGGAGTTTAGTTAAGTATTTTGCTCACTGCTACATGAAGCAGCATTGTGGGAAATTCGTTTGCACTGTCCCACTTAGTATATTGAATGACCATAGAAAAATGCATCATAAGATACAGAGGACGGGTGTTGGGAAATATTCACAAGTAGGTCCATTGAAACATGGAATAGCTTGCCTGCAGCACTAAACGAGTTCCCCACACCATTCAGTAGGCATGCCCATATAGATAATGTATTTGGATCTATATTACTCATTTCCGATGTGCACAGAAATTGAAAGAAAACAAGGGAGCCTCCGCCTGCAAGGGTTTCCTAGGTTTTCATTAGATATCCTGGAAGATTCCAACAGTTAAAAATTTTAATTTTAACAGAAATAAGTAAATATTTTATTGTTACACCTGCTATTCTGCAATTCACTGCTTAGGACATGTAACAGCAAGACTCCAAGTAAATGGTTGCTCACCATCCAATATTTGCTACTCTTGGTTTGGAAAGAATTATTGTACTGCATCTCTGTGTATACTTAACTATATTCCCATCTTAATACCGAAAAAATTGTTTTCAGCAAAACGACTGACTGTCAGTGAGAAACACAAGCAACTGAGTAGTAGACCTATTCCTTTACAGCTCCAACATTTTTGAAAGTCACTCAAATATTTTTTCTGTAAATAGCCAGTTTGTCAGATTTGTTGATTGGGGATGAACCAGGGTGCATTAACTATTGATCTGGGATATTTATTATGAACTGTTCTGCCCATATTGGGCATGCATTGCACTGTATTGTGATGATTTAAAGATCAATAATCTCCTTTCTTAACTCAACAATGACCAATGATTTATACTCTGTGCTAGATTGAAGATTTTAATTTTCGTTTGGTCTACGACCGCATTTACATGCGGTTCTAGACAGTAGCGAATTAATACTCAATCAGAGGCACGTCCATTTTCATTGACCATCTCCCTCACGATATTATGTGTTATTAGGGGACATATTCTGAATTTATACAATAATATATCTTAAAAAATGTTTATATTAGATTTTATTTTATTATATTTTTGAAGTCATGGAAAACAGAAACAAGTGTCTGTGTTCAATAATAAAAAATATAGAGTTTTCACGATTTAAAACGTGTACACTTCTGCTTGCGTTATATGTTGTCATTAAATTTGATAGTTACGTTTATAAGCTCTAAATTACTCAAACATTAAGTGTCTCACTCATGTCCGGGAGGGGCTAGGCAATTGGCTAGTACTGTCCATTGGTTAATCCATCACAGTTCTCAGGCAAGTCTTTTGTGTAAGAATACTCATAGTTACTTAACTGGGGAGGTTAACCAAGGAAGTTTAGTTCCTTGGACTTTTATTTCTTGGCAAGTTTTGAAATAACTCCGCCTGCGGTTATTGCTGGGTGGATCGAGTAGCTCAGCAATGCCGTTGCCGGTCCCAAGCCCGGATAAAGGAGGGTTCCCGGGTGAGGCCAGCGACCTGCCCGGGGTAAAAAGGATAGAAATGCTCATAGAACAAAGGATAAACCTCGGAATACGATTAATAAGACGGACAAGGACATCGAAATGGAAAAAAGGAAACATACTGAGACTGGGAACATGGAATATTAGATCATGGAACACAAGCTAATGGAATTAGATAGACACAACGTGTGTGTGTCAGACAAAAAAGGTAGACGCATAACACAATTAAATAATTACACACTTTTCTATAGTGGGGTACAACAATTCTCAAGAGCAAAGGAAGGACCATCAATCATAAACAATAAACATCTCGATAAGATAATAGACTACAAGTACACTATCAGAAAGAATTGTACAAATAATTAAGATCTAAACAAACCAATAAACATAATCTCATCTATGCCCCTGAAATAAACAAGCTCACACATGAAAGAATCGTTGTACGAAACCTCACAGAAGTTATACACAAACAAAATCCAAGGAGACACTATATTAGTCGAGGCGACTTTAATGCCAGAAGAGGTGAACTATACGTCATCCCTGCCATAAAAAACAGATTCAACGAAACGCACCTAAATGAAAATGGAGAACTGCTCATCGAGTTCTGCTTAGATAATGAATTAAAAATAAATAATACCTTCTTCGATCATAAGGATCAACATAAATACATATGGGAAAATAATTTGGGACACCGAACCCTAATAGATTATGTAGTAACGAATAGAATGTGCCACCCATCAAACATCTTAGATATAAGGAGCTTAACAAGCGCATATATTGAAAGTGACCATAATCTGGTGCTAGCCAAATTAAGAACAAACTTAAATCGGAAAAACAATACCAGGGATACAATATCAAAAATTAATATCCAATCCCTTCAAGATGGGTCAACACAAACATTTAAAGAGATCGCTTAGACAAGAATCAAATACAACGGAATTAGAGAAGAAGATAATATTGAGACAGCCTTGGAAAAATAAAAACTAATATACTCAAGTCAGCGGAAGAAGCATTAACGAACATTAACAGAAAAAGTTCAACGGAAACAAAGGAGGAATATACCATGTATACAGAAGGGTTAAGAAATAACTAGGGAGAAACTCCAAGCATTTCTCTCAATACAACAGTCTAAATTACAAGACTATGAAGAATACAAACTTATAAGAAATCAAGTAAATTATAAAGATCAGGAAAATAAAACAAAATTATGAAAATCATTTACTGCAAGAATGGAACACGACTTTTACGCATAGAGTAGAGTAATTTACTCGGGCAACTTTTCTTGAACGATGATTGACGATTTCGGTGGAGTGGGGATATTAGTTACAAGTCGGCACTAGAGTATTTTAAGTAATGCCAAACGTCTGTGAAATGAAATCAAAAGCATCTTGTACTTTACTTTTTCGGGATTTAGGTGACTCCATTGAATGACCTGGACTTGACTCAGTCATTATCTTTCGATATTAACAATAACACCTGAACAGGGGATCTGCACAATGAAAGCAACTGGCTTTGACTAGCTTCTTGTTCGCGCCCAAAGAAGTTTGAATGCTTGAAAGTGTGTCATCAGCGCCCGCTGCGAGCTTTTGCCTTCAACTGTTTATTGCACAGAGGGAGGGGGATCAAGGTATGGTTCAAGAAAAGTTGCGCGAGTATATATGTTGTATCCTCTCTTATGCTTTTACGGCCTGCAAAAACAGATACGGCGTTTTATAAAGAAATATACGCTCCGAAACAAATGAGTTGATAAGCACAACAAAAAATCAGTAACACGGAATGGGTGGATATTTTAGTAGCTAATTCACAATAATAAGGCTCCAGTATTTGATATACTCTCTGATTGGATATAAGCCGACACACTAACACAGACTATGAGATCTCAGAAGAACAGATTATACAAACGATAGCCAAATTAAAAAAATAGGAAAATCACCCGCAGAGAATGGCATATATAAGACTATTAAATACGGGAGGCAATCATTACATAAAGAATTAGTAAAACTGATACAAAACCATTATAGGCAGAGTAAAATACCAGAGGAATGGAAAACGAGTATTCTAATCCCCCTTTTTAAAAAAGGGACAAGCTAGACCCAAACAATTATAGAGGAATTAACCTTCTTAACACAACGCTTAAACTAACAACAAAAACTATCACACAAGTAATAGAAAACTTAATAGAATGGAAAATAAGAATACCAAGGATTAGTAAGAGGAAGATCATGTAATGATGCGATCTCCATTATACGACAAATTGTTGAGAAATATCTGGAATTCGACAAACCTGCATATATGTGTTTCGCAGACATACAGAAAACATTTGACAGCGTACGCCTTGTAGATATAGCAAGATTGTTAAAGAAAGAAAATATCCCCTGCAACCTTATTAAATTCATAGCAAATATATATATGAACACCAGAATGAGAGTAAAACATAACGAACAAATATCCCATGCCATAACAACAGGTCAAGGAATAAGACAAGGAGATTCCCTCAGCTCAATACTCTTCAACCTGGTAATGAAACACATCCTAAACAATCTTTCGAACAAAAAAGGATATTACTTCGGCTCTTATAACATAAACTCAATCTGTTATGCAGACGATACAGTCTTCATTGCCGAAAGCGAAGATGATTTACAACGCCTCCTGTTTCAATTCTACAAGACATGCCAGTCATTCAACATGATATCCACACAAAAATCTAAATGCATAACAATCTCGAAAGAGTCATTGAGATGCAAAGTAGCTATAAACGAATACCTAATAGAACAAGTGATGGAAATGCAATATCTAGGCATAACAATAACTAGTGATGGCAGATCTATGAAAGAGGCTAAGGAACAAAGCATAAAATCAAATAGAATAGCAGGCTGTCTCATCTAATATCTAAGAAAATATCTAAGAAAAGCCACTAAAATTAGAATATATAAGGCAGTAATTAGACCAGTATTGTCATATGCAGCTGAAACGAGAGCAGACCTTAGGTTCTGGACGTCCTACCCTTCTCCTTCTTTACGGTCTTCTATCTCTAGTCACTTTTCACCAGCTCTGTCTTCTTCTATTCTGTCTATATGGTCATTCCATTTCTTTCTTTCTTTCTCGAACCCAGTCTGAGATTATATCTATTTGGCAAGTTTGTCTTATAATATATTAGGTTCTTTATCCCTTGCGTTTTATTTGTATTTCTCAGCACCCGCATTTCGACACTTCCATCATTGGCATATCTTTTTTGAGTCTGCTCTCG